CCTTGGGCTCCTCCCACAGGTAGGGATGCAAATTTTCAGAGCCAACATCGATACATCGATATTTCGATGTATCGTAAACACTAACATCGATGCCGAAAAAAATCGCCCTAAAACTATCGATACATCGATATTTTCCGATGTTTCTCTTTTTTTAATAAGTATGTTACAGGTACTTCATGATTTGCAGGTTTTTACAGGAAGCTGTTAACGTACGCCACCTTCCATAAGGTTTATTAATGGCGAAAACCGCTTTACCTGTAAAACCTGCAAATCCTGAAATACCTGGAACTGACTTAATGCTTGTTAAAATTTCAAGAAAAACCTAGTGTCCATCTAAACTGCTCTGTTAAGATTTCAATGGGTGGTTTTTTGATTTTAATTAGATTTCCTTCCAATGTCATAATAGATTTGCTGTATACGCGCAGATAATACTTACACTCACCTTAAGTCGTATTGAAATATTGTAACTACATTCTTGTTATCAAATTAATAAATAAAATACAAGTAATGTAACATAAATACGTATTTGTGTGATTTTATTATACTTATGTAGACTTAGTCTTCTTTGATTACATATAAGTATGTACGTGTATGCAGATATACATATATATATTCAAGTATATGTACATTAAAGAATGTATGTACGTACATGCCAGTTATACTGACTCATATCAATAGCTTAAACATATTTTACATTTATTTAAACATTTCGTTTTAAAGTTCCTGGTAGGCATACAATGAAATTAATGTTGGTTGGCAAAAAGTAAACAGCGATAGCGATCACTTATAAAAATCAAATATTTTGCCGATTCACAAGGTATCATAACAGTCATATTGTCGACATTTTAAAATGTTTTAAACTATCTTGTGGTTGCTATCAATCACTCAGAAACAAGTATGTTTAACGTTTATAAAATTTATGACATTATGACAATATAGTTAGTTATGACACCTTTTGAATCACCCAAATTACAAATATACCAAAGAAGTCAATTATTAAAAACCGAGTCAACTGTGTTTAAAAACAACAGTTTTGACAATCTTTTTTCCACTGAGACGATTACGCGCTTGAGTTATAGTTGCTCCAGCTTTTGAAAATAGCCTTTCAGATGGTACAGATGTAGCAACAATTGGTAAATATTTAGCTGCAAGCTTGTGTAACGTGGGAAATACACCTCTGAGGCCTTCCCAAACCTCCACTCCATTTTGTTTTACATGTATGGAGTTAACAGGCGAAGCCAAGTACATCTGTACTTCAGAAGAAATATATCTATCAAATGGCAATGCAGACTGTTGCCTCTTTTTTATACTGTCAAGCGCTAAACGATTATGATATTCCCATATATCGAATTCTTTTCCTGCATGGCATTCCGAGTCACTGCGTTCAGGAGAAGTGCTTCTAGGTCTTACAACAGCAGCATTTTCCATTAAAGAGTTTAAAGCGTTAATGGCTTTACTTTTGGCCAAAGCATCTTGTAAGTGTAATGTCTTAAACCTCGGATCCAAAACGGTAGCTAACGCTAAAATCGAATGGTGTTCCAGTCTATTAAATCTCTTAGCAATTTGTTGCTCAAACTCATATTTTAGTTTAACAGTAACGTTGTTTCTTGGTGTTTTTGTGTGGAGCACATCACGAGCGCAACTAATGAGCGGAATTACTTTGCTGACTGTAACGTAATTTTCGGCGCACAACTCTTTCGTTATAGTTTCGAATGGCTTTAGAAGTTCAATAACTTCATTAATTATATCTAATTCATTTCCTGAAATCATTGGGGGCGTATCAGAGCGTGAGAGTAAAATTTCGTTGATAGTACCAGCCAGTTCCACAAACCTCTGCAGCATATAAAAACAAGAGTTCCAACGCGTTTTGACGTCTAGAATAAGTTTTTTTATTTGGCCATCTGACACACCAGCGTTTTTTTGTTTTTTTCTTAGCTCGTCACTAGCGTTAACGGACCTTTTAATGTATTTCACGATTTCTCTTACATGCGAAATTATTGTTGAAACATCGG